CTCCAGTAGCCCCACTCTGATCATGTGAGCTACCCTTCCTCATCCCCTCTTCTAACACCTCCTTCTACACACCTGCCCTGCATCCCTCCTCTGGTGCTGGTCCCTCCCCTGCAGGCGTCTGCCCTTCTGCTTCACCCCCAGAATCCCCTGGCACCTGCATCTTCTCTTATTCCTGCACCCTCCTGGTGCCTCCCCCTTTCCTCACTGCCCCTGCCCCCTTTGCCCTCTTTTTCCCTGATGTCCACCCTCTCCCCTCCCTCTGCCCCCATTTCCCTTATGCCCTTGTGCCCTCACACATGACTTGCTCCATCCCTGCCTTCCTCATGACCACCCCTCGTCCTCCATCCCCCAATGCCCTTACCCTCTTCCCTCCCAGCATCACCCTGTCCCCCTCCCACTGACACCTCCCCTCCTGCCCTTTTCCTCATTGTCTGCACTTGGCCCCCTGGCATTTGTCTCTCCTCTACCCTGTCCCATTGGTGCCTTCCCCTTTCTTCCCCCTCTCCCCTCCCCCTCCGCACAAGCCCCTTCCTCTCCCAGCCCTCCCCTACCTTCTGCCTTCCACTTTGCGGGGCCAGAGTCTGCACTCCGTCCCCAGACTCCAAACCTGCAAAGCAGTGCCCAGAAGTTTTAAAATCCCGGGCCGTGATGTTACGTCATGCTCGAGGGTCTCCCTGCCCACCGGTTTGAGCACGCCGTGCATGGCAGCAGCAGCCGACAAGGGGGAGCTCAGTGAAGGTTGTGCACAGCAGGGATGCTCTGGTGCTGGGATGGGAGTTCGCGTGGGGGGGCCAGAGCCCGCTCCAGCTCCAAATATTGGTAGAGCATGGGCACCACAAGCCCATACAACTCGCCACCCATGAAGAGGAGCCCATCTGCAGGAAAAGCCCTCGTTATTTAAGACTATTCCAGACCTTCTTGTCTCCAGCCCTTTCTTAAAGCATGTGACTTAACACTGGAAGAGAGGTCAGTGACAAATGAGGGGAAACAACGCACCCCTGGTCATGTGAAAAAGAACCCAGGAATCCTGACTCCCAGCGCCCGTCTCTGACCACTAGGCAGTGCTGCCTCACCAGGCAGACACTCAGTGGCCTGAATAAACTGCCAGGGACAGTGACTTATTTTGAGCGGTGGGAATATAAATACATCTCCAAATCTCCAGCCATTTATTTCAGCTTCCTGTATGCTCCCGAAAGAAACAGCCGTCCTCTGGGAACCCGGCATTTTTGTTAGTCACGCTGGCTTTTCAGCTACGTACCTTCTGGAAAGCTCTGTGCAAAAGTCAGAACGGCCAGGAGGAAGCTCCCAATGGCTCCTTGCAGCATTTTCTCTGGAGAAAAGAGAATGAATGAATAGCGCAGCCTCACAATTCTGTCACGTCTTTCCCCTGGGGGATGCAAACGCCCTTTGCCACTGCAAATTGGTATTATCGTGGTGCAATTCTATTTTATTTGGGGGGGGGGGGGGTGCACGC